AGAGAACCACTTGATGGTGTCAAAAAAACAAAAACAAAACAAAACAACAACAACAACAAAAACCCCACACATCAAACTGCAGAAAATCAAAGATTAAGAGAAATTTTAAAAGAAGCCAGGGGAAAAACAGCCTATCTGTAGAAGAGCAAAGATAAGAGTTATATCTGACTATTCCTCAGAAACCATACAAACCAGGAAAAGGGGGAGTATTTTTTGCTCTCAACATTTAAGTGTTGAGAGGGAAAAATAGAGGAGTTCTCTATCCTGCAAAATTATCCTTCAAAAGGAAAGAACAAATAAAGACTTTCCCAGACAAACAAAAATTGAAGAGACTTGTTACTAGTAGATCGACCTTGCAAGAAATAAAGGAAATTCTTCAAAAAGAAGGAAAATGATATTGAATCCTTATAAAGAGAAGAGCATTAGAGGTGGAATAAATGGAAGTGAAAGAAAACATATTTTTCTCATTCATAATTGATCTAACAGGTATCAGTTTGTTCAAAACAATAATTGCAACAATATATTAGATGATTATGGCTTGCATGTGTGCCAAGTTGCTTCACTTATGTCCAGCTCTGTTGGACCCTATAGACTGTAGCCTGCCAGGTTCCTCTGTCCATGGGATTCTCCAGTCAAGAATACTGAAGTGGATTGCCCTCCTCCAGGGGATCTTCCCGACCCAGGGATCAAACCCGCATCTCTTACATCTAACCTGCATTGGCAAGTGGGTTTTTTACCACTAGCACTACCTGGGAAGTCCAATTATGAGCTATGTATAAGCAAAATGAATAAGAGAAATAATCAAGGGACAGGAGGGAATAATTGGGAATAATCTGTGATTATGAGCTACTTGCACTATACGTAAAATAATAGAGGGTTATTGCAAAGTGAACTTGAATTAGGTGTAAATGTGTATTGCAAACATTAGGGCCGCTACTGAAAAGACACTTTTAAAAATAATTGATACGCTAAAGTATAGAAATTGGAATCACGTAAAAGCTCAACTAATTTTTCCAGTTTTATTGAGGTATTAATATGAATGACCAATAAACATTATATATATTTAAGGTGTGAAGTGTGATATTGATATACATGTACATTGTGAAATGATTCCCCCAATCAAGCTAATTAGCCTAAAAACCACAAACAGAGCAAAAAGAGTATAAAACAAAAACAAGAGGGGGAAAAAAGGCCACAAATAGAAAACAGTAACAAATATGGTAGATATTAATCCAATCACATCAATAATTACTTTGCATATCAACAGTCTAAAATCACCAGTTAAAAGGCAGAGATTATCAGTGTGGACCAGAAACCTAACCCCAACAATATGTTATTTAAAGAAAGAAACCCACTTTAAATACAAAGACACACAGGTTAAAGTAAAGGAACAGAGAGGAAAATACCTTGGTAACATTAATCAAAATAAAGTGGGAGTGGCTGTACTAATTACAGACAGAGCAGAGTTCAGAGCACAGAAAGGTATCAGGGATTAAGAAGGGAATTACATAATGATAAAGGCATCATTATATCCAGTGATAAAGGTGTCATTGTGCTCCAAGCTTAAGTCTCTCAATTCTGAGATACATCATGCAAAGATCTGGCCTTTGTTCCTCACTCCCACTAAACTCCCCACGACATAACTAAACTTAAACCTTAGTCTGAAGAGCTTGCAGTTTCCCAAGTGGACATAGCTTGGAGCATTTAAACTTAACTTCCACTTCATTGCATTTATCTAGACCTCAACTCCCTCACTCTCTCTTTAATTGCCCTCTGGTTTACCATAATATCTTACCATCGTCATTATAAGATTATGGCTGTTAGACACACAGATCCTAGCACCCAGAAATAACACAGTGTATTCCAAAGAGCAGATGCCCAATCAGTGTTAAGGGAATAAATGAGCCAGGGAGCATGTTATCTAATTTATTAAGATTTAATTTCTCCTAAATTCTTAGCTAAGCCAAACAAATGCAGGTATGTGTCATTTAATTTTTACTGTACAACAGACTAAAGATAAGGAAGATAGGAAGTGACAGTCTTTTACTTTATTTTGCTCTATTTCTTGATCCCAACAATTTTTCTACTGAGTAACACCTATTCCAATGTCATGTTACCCATTCTGAATCAAAAAATAAGAATGAAGATGTCCCACTTTGATTCATAAAATATAAAAATTCCTATTTGCAAACTTGATACACAGCAATAAATGTATAAACAAGTGATTCATAAATGTACTCAGAAGCTATTTAAACCGTCTATTAAAAGAGTCAATATTTGAAAAATAATGAAAAGAGAGAGACAAAGACAGACACAGTGATACAGAGAGACAATTAGAGAAATAAAGATCTCCAAAGTACCACATAAATAGGAAAATAAAGATGGTATACATCCATGATAAAGGAAGTGACATCCAGGGATTTGAGATGCTCTAAGGTGGGTGGGGGTGGGGTGGGGGTGGGGGGGGGTCGGGGGCAGGGCAGCAGAAGATATCGACTGTCAACTCCACTGAGAGCAGAGGGTAGCCCTCAGAAGAGGCTGCAGAGAAGAGCTGGTCAGCAGGAGGTCAGGTTCCAGAGCTGGAAGGAGGACACACTGGGGAAGTCTGGGGTCAGGAGAGGAGAGGATGCTGTAATGCTGGAAAGAACTGGAGCTGAACAAAATACTAGTTTCCGGACAGAGTTAGCTCTCGGTCGGATCCTAGGAAGATGAAACCCAGGGACAGTTCCCACATACTGATCTCTTCTCATATATTCACTCTCCCCTTCAGTAGACTTGACTTTAGCACTTTAACTTCAAGTGCCTTTTTATTATTTGAGATACATAGTGCAAAGAAAAGTGAATTAAGAGACAGGTCTGCCCCAGGCTGGGAGGAGTGAAACACTATGGCCTGTAGACAAGTTCAGATGAGGAGTCTATTCCCAGCTCTAATAACCAGTCTTGTGAACTTAAGAAAACTTTGAGTTCTTCACCTGCTGAGTTTGGTAAGCCCTACCTTGTAAGATGGTTGAAATGCATGTACCATATATAAATCACATGGCAAGAGGACCAGCAAATGTCACCCAATATTTAAAGAATAGCAGTAATTAATATTTTGATCTCAGATGATACCATTTACCTCCCTTGGAATTTTTTTTTTTTAATTCAGGAAGTTTCAAAGAATATGTAATATTTTAAAGAATACTGAATCAACCAAAAAGTCTCTCTAGCTGGCAAAACTAACTTTACCCATTTGAGCATTTATCATTTGCTTTAGGTATGGAGTTGTTGTCCCTAGCTGGGTACAGCTCAAGCTCCTAGATGTCATCTATCTAGGAGATTAACCCTGCCATCCCTTCCAGGTGCCCTTGCATCCAAATCAGCTCTGTTTACATTCATTACACTCTCATAAAAAAGCTATCCTTCAAGAGTTTGCCAAACTCTACTTAAGATAACCTAGTTAAAATGCCTTTATAATGGATCAGACACTGGCTCTCCCAGTTTGGGGCAAACAGTGCCAGCACAGTAGCTTCTTGGCATCTCACCTAAGGGGATCATCTCCATTATTTTTCAGAAACTCCCTGGAAATGATGTGCATAGAACACCTAGTTTGCACACTGTGTTCATCTGCACTAGAACAAGAGCAAAGGACACCTTCCATTCCTGCCCCTGGTAGAGATTTTTCTAGTTTATCCACATCCCAAAATAATTTGTAGCAGCAGTTTTCCACTATAGACTAGATGTTCGTGTCCCTGACAAAATTCATGTGTTGAAGCCCTAACCGTTTTCTCCTTCCCACCATGTCCATGCAATTGTATTTGAAGGTGAAAGTTTAGGGAGATAATTAGGTTTAGATGAGGTCATGAGGATGGGGCACCCATGATGCAATTAGTTATCTTAGAAGAAGAGCAAGAGAGACCAGAATTCTCTCTCTCCATCATGTGAGGACAGAGAGGTGGCGGCCAGAAAGAGAGCTCTCATCGGGAACAGAATCCACTGGCACATTGATTGTGAACTTCCCAACTTCTGTAACTGTGAAAAAGAAATGTCTGTTGTTTATCTATGGTATTGTTACAGCAGCCTGAGAAGACTAATACAGGGTTTTTTCTATCAACTGTTGGAAGGTTTGGCCTCTACTCACCACTTCAGGACCTCAACTAGCCCACCGCACAACAGAAATGAAAACTACACTCCACTGAGGACTCATAGTTTCCTCAAGTCCCAAACTGCCTTACTCAGGAACTTTACACTTAACTGCCATCACCCAGTGGCAAAGAATCCTCCTGCAATGCAGGAGGCACAGGAGACATGGGTTCAATCCCTGGGTTGGGAAGATTCCAGGAGGAGGGCATTGCAGCCCACTCCAGTATTCTTTCTGGAAAATTCCCATGTACAGAGGGGCATGGTGGGCTATCATCCATGGGGTCGCACATGACTTAAGTGATTGAGCAGCCAGGCAGGGAGGGCCATCATAAGGAATACCCTCCACTTCAACCATTCTTTTTACTTTACCTGTAAGTCACAGAGAATATTTCAGTATCTTACTCATATGAGTGTAACTCATAAGCTCTAAAATTCTGTGAGTAGAGGCTGGATATTCTTTATATTAGCATCCCCAGTACTAGCACTGAGCCTTCCCAAGAGCAGATTCTCAACGTTTGACGAATAAAAGAGCCAATAAACACAAGGTCTACTTTATTAACATTTAATTTCTCTTACTTTCTTGAAGAAGCTAAGAAACTCAGAGTATAGAATAAGTACTATAACAAAGCTAAAGACTAAAAGGAACAAGAAAAACTAACATTGATCATGTTTTACTTTTTTTCTACTCCATCATCCTAACTATTTTACGATGGGATTCTTTCACATTTCCAAGAATATAATCCCTATTGTAATGTTATATTTTCATGTCTGGGGGGGAAAAAGCACATGCTTCACTATGGGTGGGAAGACAATATTGAGCGTGTCCCTGGGAGGTGTATTGACTTTGATAGTAGTGTCAGGCTTGGCTGCATCCACACCTTGGGCTTTCTCTTCATCTCGCAAAGCTTCTTCATAATAAGTGGGGAAGTCGGTGGGAACAGCATTATTGACCTTTGCCAAAAATTCCAGGACTTTCATCTTGCTGGTTTCCAGATGTGCTTTTGGGCCCCAGAGAAACTCATAACGTGGAGGATCACTGTTGGCAACCTGGCGGTACTCCAGGTACTTCAGCCTCACTAAATCTTTGGTGATGAGCTTTCTGGGCTCTCCAAAGATGAAGTGCCTTCTTCCAGCATATACTTGCATCGTACCCAGGGATTTCCAGATGTCTTCCTCAGCAGCACAGTTGCCCTTCATGAAGATCATAGCCAGGAGATTCATCAGGAGACCGGTCTTGGGTAACCCCCTTCCACCACGCACCCTCCCATTGTTGGGGAGTTTCAATTTGCTGATCAGATTATAGCAGGGAACGACTGAGTCGACTTCCTTCAGATCCATCGCAAAGATGAGCTCAATGCGTTCAGAGGCTCTCTTGAGAATCTCAGCAAATCGGTCATGGTGGCTGTGGTGGATAATCTTCAGTATGTCTTCCTTCATGATGAGCTGCTTCATTTTATACCTGTGCAGAATGTACTGCTCCAACAAGCTAGCTTTCCTGGTTAAACAGTCAGTTCCTGGGGGCTCAGTGAAGGGTGGGACCTCATAGACCAACACCCTATGCTCATATTGGCCATCGAATGCTTCACTAGATCTAGTGCAAGAAAAGACTGCAGAAGTGGTGATGGTCGGTATTCTTTCAGGCTCCTGGGAAGTGCTATGTGACTGAGCACCAGGCAGACTCTGGGTAATACCTTCACACTGAGGCGAGGAGGTAGTGGACTCCTCTTCTGCTGCTGCTGTGGCCTGAGCACCCCCACAACTCTGGGTCTTGCCTTGGGGTTGTTCATCACCGTGGGGTTTATCACCACCACGGGCCTTACTCTTCTTCCTTCGAGGCATGGTCAGGGACAGCAGGAAGGAGTGTAGACAGGAGCTCAGAAGACGTGGGCACCTGGAGGAAGGAGAATAAGATGCTGTAAGCACCTCAGCAGGGAGATTCCACCTTGGCTTTAATCAACGCCACCTCTGCAGGGTCCTTGGGGACACTGATCTAGGACCTCTCAAGGCTTCTGTTTTGATCAGCCTGTACCCTGAGAAAACTGTGGAGGATATCAGAACCTTAGAATGTAGCCTGCCAACCCTGCTAGGGGTATACTAGGGTGACAGCAGGGGCTGCCAGTAAGGAGCCTCTGTTCTGGGTTTGAGGGTATTCTCAGTTTATAGTCAGGGTCATTATAGTCATATAGTCAATTGTTGGCAGGTCTTGAGCCTCCTCTTTTCTGATGCTTTGAAGCTGACACCTCAAACCCAAGTCAGCACTTCCCTGAGACCCCAGAGGAGGAAGTGAGGGGTTCCTTGGCCCTTCTCTCTGTCAGAGGGTACCCAACTGAGAGCTACGTGGGACCCACTCCTTCAGGGGCTGCTTGGGTCCTCAGTTCTCGTTAAGGATGCTCACCTAGTCTCCAGGCAGTACCTGGTATACCTCCCCTCTGCTGACCGGTGGCTCCAACTTCATACTAACCTCATACTCTTCTCTCTCAGATTTGATGTGGATTGTCAGCCTCAGCCTGACAGTCCCGCCCTGAGCCTGCAAGTTCGGAATGAAAAACGTGGGGCCGAGATTTTCTGTGATCTACTGTCACTCTGCTTATTTAACTTATATGAAATGCCAGGCTGGATGAAACACAACCTGGAATCAAGATTGCTGTGAGAACTATCAATAACCTCAGATATGTAGATGACACCACCCTTATGGCAGAAAGTGAAGAAGAACTAAAGAGCCTCTTGGTAAAAGAGGAGAGTGAAAAAGTTGGCTTACAACTCCACATTTAAAAAAACTAAGATCATGGCATCCAGTCCCATCATTTCATGGCAAATAGATGGGGAAACAACGGAAACAGGGAGAGACTTTATTTTCTTGGGCTCCAAAATCACTGCAGATGGTGACTGCAGCCGTGAAATTAAAAGACACTTGCTCCTTGGAAGAAAAGCTATGACCAACCTAGACAGCATATTAAAAAGCAGAGACACTACTTTGCTGACAAAGGTCCATCTAGTCAAAGCTATGGTTTTTCCAGTAGTCATGTATGGATGTGAGAGTTGGACTATAAAGAAAGCTGAGCGCCAAAGAATTGACGCTTTTGAACTGTGATGTTGGAGAAGACTCTTGAGAGTCCCTTAGACTGCAAGGAGATTAAATGAGTCAAACCTAAAGGAAATCAGTCCTGAATATTCATTGGAAGGACTGATGCTGAGGCTGAATACTTTGGGCACCTTATGCGAAGTACTGACTCACTGCAAAAGACCCTGATGCTGGGAAATATTGAAGGCGGGAGGAAAAGGGGACAACAGATGATGAGATGGTTGGATGGCATCACCAATTCGATGGACATGAGTTTAAGTAAGTGCCGGGAGTTGGTGCTGGACAGGGAAGCCTGGCATGCTGCAGTCCATGGGGTCACAAAGAGTGAGACATGACTTGAGTCACTCAACTGAACTGAACTGATTCAATGATTGGTAGTCCTCTCAGTCTTTCCTTTGACCCTTTGCATGGTCTGGGATTTCTGTCTTCCTGCCAGCCAACAAGCCAGTAACATATGAGGGTCCCCCCACTTCCCCATGGTCTCTACGGTTGAGAATAGGGGATGGATTCTTTTGTACCCCCATACAACTCCTGGAAAGATCTGGAAATACCTCTACTGTGGGGGAATAATCTACCCCTTATAAACAAAATCTTTCACCTGCCCCAGGTGCTGCCTTCCTGCCTCGCCCCCGGCCCCCTATCCCTTCACCATTCCATCCTCGCGATACCGTAAGAGAAAAGGAGTGTCCGTCATCACATCACCAGTTGCAAAGACACGCCAGGCTGCCAGCAGGGCAGGAATTCCCTCTGTCCTCACATAGGGTCCTCATTCCAACTCCTGGCCACCCTAGAATGCTTTCGTCTGCTACCTTGAGGCCCCTCCCCTATAAAACCAACACCCTCACAATCTCAGAAACCCTCCTCAAAGTAGTCTGCCTGATTGCCCTGTCCGGGTCTTCCCACGCTTGATGGAACCACAAGTCCCGTGCCACTTCACTGTTCTGGGGTTGAGGTCCTCTCAGACCTCACTCAGAGTTCCGTCCTCAAATTCCTTCAGGGCAAGGTGGTCTAGTTCCTAATCTATCATATAGAAAAGGAAGGCTCGCCTCTACCTGCCGCCATGTTTGGGTCCTCTGAGAACAACAAGCAGGGCCTTGTTCGGACTTTCTATCTGAGTTTCCTCACTCAGACCCTTATTAGGGTCTTCCTCCCCCTCTGAACTGGGGCCACCCACTTCAACCAAGGTCCTCACCTCCCAAAGAGCCTCTGAGGGGTTATCTTCCTCCACGAGAGCGTCGGGGCTTTGTGAGTGGAAAGCACCGGGGAGGGAGGGTGAGGCACGGAGGTGGGGGGGGGGGGGGGGTCGAGGCACAGAGGGGGCGGGGTGAGGCACGGAGGGGGCCTGTGAGGCACGGAAAGGGGGGCCGAGGCATGGAGGGGGCGGGGCAAGGCACAGAGTGGGGAGCGAGGCACGGGTGGGGGCGAGGCACGAGGTGGGGGGTGAGGCACGGCGTGGGGGGCGTCGGGCGGCGCGGGGCAGGGGAGGTTGGGGGGTTGGTGGGGGGTCTCCCATTCATTATTCGGGCTCCTCACCTTGACTCGGTTCCTGCTGGAGCCTGGAAACGCTCACAGGCCTGAGGCCTTGTGCCACCGCCGGAGGCACTCGCTCTTCGTCCTTCGCCGTCTAACAGGAAGTGAGCGCTAGCTACGACCTAGGAGGAAGTGAGCGCCTCACCATAGATAGCGCCTCGATCTCTGGCGCCCCCTCTGTTCTGGAGTGGAGGACACCCTCAGTTTCACATCAGCTTCTCAATTACACTCCTTTCAACCAGGTCCTCACCTACGTGAGACCTTCCTTGCAGGAAGCTGCCTGATGGCACAGGTCTAAGACTCGGTACGGGGTTGTCCCTACAGGACTCTCTAAATGATCGGGGGGTGTTCTCCTCAGTAGTCCTACACCCGAGTCTGGTTTCAGCTCCTGTCTCTTTAATGAATGGCTTCCTTGTAAATGCCACATCCATGCAAACTCTTAAGTACTGTCTCCACTGTGAGTCTTAAGGGCAATGGGTCTGTGTCTCACGAATGATGTAAGATAGGAAAGCTGAAGTGCCAGGTAGAGAGGACTTAGATAGGAGTTGAGCTTTCAGAGAAAAAAGCAAAAATCATGCTGATTTATTTCTTCTCTGTACCACCCAGACTTGGCTTCCAATACAACTTCTGTTCTATGAGACTTGCATACTACAGAAATGGGCTGAGCCTGATAATTTCGTGAGACCCCCATCTTTCACGGTTAACTGACACTGCACATGTAAATGATCATATTGTTACCAGGTAGTAACCTTCTTTTCATTATTTATACCACTCACTTATTTTGGTTTTCTTATTGCCCTGGCTATGTATTTCAATCCAGTACTTTGGGCACACACTGCTTTTTATTTTTATTGTTCCTTCAATCACCTGAGATACAGTCCAGAATAGAGAGAAGAAAAGTGAGTAAAAACACGCAAGGTCAGCTTCAGGGCGGGAGTGGTAGAAAAGAGTGTGCCCTCGAGAAATTCAGACCAGGAATCTAGTCTAGCTCTGTTACTTACCACCTTGTGAATATGAGAACATTGCAAGTTCTTCATCTGCCAAATGAATCTGATAAACCCTACCTTGTATGACTGTTGGAAAGTATGTATTGTGTATAAAGCACCCATCAGAATCCTGGCAAATATTGGGTGTTTCATGAATGGCAGTTAATATTTTTACCTAGACAATATCACCCTCCTATGTAGGAATGTTTTCTTAAATCCAGCATATGTCAGGGGAAGTGCAGCACTCTCAGACAGAACAATACCAAAATTTTGCTTTAGCAAGTAAAATTAAGTATCTTTTCCGTGTTAGAGCATTTATTATTTAATTTTGGTGTGGAGGTTTTTCATTTTTCCACCTGGAAGCAACTCAAAGTTCCTGGAATTTTGTCATGTACCGACTCTTTTAGTCCTTTCCAGTTTCCCTTCTATCTAAATCGTGTCTATTTTTA